GCATCATCAGCATCATCATCATCATCATCATCATCATCATCAACAACAACAACAACAACAACAACAACAACAACAACAACAACAACAACAACAACAACAGCAACAGCAACAGCAACAGCAACAGCAGCAACAACAACAACGACGACGACGACGACAATAGGACAAGCCGAAACAAACCAAATCAAACCATGAGCAACTATAAGTGTAAGACTGTTCGCTCTTACCTGCTCGCATGCCTCTCAACACGTATATCACAAACCCTCGGTGGTACCCGCCCTCTTCGTCTTCGATCGCACCCCCATTATGGGTATATCTTCCCTACCTGCCGCGCGTAGTTGGCGCAGCCCCTCAAACAGGGGAAGAGAGGACAGATGGCAGGGGGAGGGAGAAGGATGGGGCAGGATGGAGCACGCGAGAGATTAGCAGGAGGGAGGCTGGGACCATAAAACACGTGGCACAACCAGACGGGTAGATCGGGCGAGCAGACCAACAACAACAGCAGCAAAAGCAACAACAACAAAACAACAACAGCAACATCATCGACTGCTGCCTTCTCAAGTGCTCTTGTGACGACGGCGTTCCCTCGGAACGCCGTCCATGAGGTGGGCGGGGCCCTTCCGGAGGCTTTCCGCATCCAGCGTCGAGGCCCGCCCCTAGGGGGCGGAGAAAATCTGATCCAAGGCGTCCTGCCCCCATTCTCCAGGCATGCTCCACCAGAGGCCCATGCAAGTACAGTAGGAGCTCGACTACAAGAAACCTTTCACGAGAAACCCACCTCTGAGACCCCAGGACGCCCGTTGACTTTTTTATGGGAACGTCACGCTCTCCACAGAACAACAATCGAAACCCAAGAAACCCAGGGCACCCTGGAGGGAAGCAGGGTGTTTCTTGGCATGAGCTTCCACTGTATTGAAGGCGTCCTGCCCCCATTCCCCAGGCATGTTCAACCAGAGGTACATCAGAATGCCTAAAAAATCCGCCGAACCCTCGTCGGTCCCCAGTTCCATGACACGGAAGCTTGCCCCCAGGCAGCCCAGGAAGCTCCCAAGGCGCCCAAAAAGGCCCCCAAGAGACATCCCAAAAGAGCCGCCCCAGGGGCCCACAGTCGTTGATCTCCCGTCGGTACTTGGCGTTCTCGCCTTTTGGGTCCCCCGACGCTCCAAGACGGGCCCAGAGGCATCCCAAATCGCCCTAAGCTGGCCCGAGAGGCCCCGAGAACGGCCCCTGGTCCGCGGGATGGGCCGAAGGCCAGTGGATATCCGCCGCCCCCTGCTGGCATGTCACGGGGGTGCCCGGCGTGCTAGATCCTTTCGATGTTGGTTTTGGTTTTTTCCCAACCCTCCTGCGTTGGGTTCTCGTTTTGAATAGAGCACTGCTCGCGCCTTCCCGCCCCCTCCCGTCCCTCTCTTCCCCCCTGCCTTTTACCTGGCTCGTCGCTGCGTTTCGAGGGCTGCTGGGGGTTGCGATCTGTGAAACTGTCGCCACTTTCGAGGGCTGCTGGGGGGCCCAGCACAGTGGGCACTCGCGGCGGATTCAAATGGGACCTCGCCATCCCTGGGGGGCTGCGATCTGTGAAACTGTCGCCACTTTCGAGGGCTGCTGGGGGGCCCAGCACAGTGTGCACTCGCGGCGGATTCAAATGGGACCTCGCCATCCCTGGGGGGCTGCGATCTGTGAAACTGTCGCCGCTTTCGAGGCCTGCTGGGGGGCCCAGCACAGTGGGTACTCACCGCAGACTCAGATTGGACCTCGCCATCCCTGGGGGGCTGCGATATGTGAAACTGTCGCCACTTTCGAGGGCTACAGGAGGTTGCCCTTCGGCTCGCGTTCGGAGAGCGGATGTCGGCCGGGAGGATCCAAGGAGGAGGAAGGAGGAGGAGGAGGAGGAGGAGGGGGAGGAGGAGGGGGAGGAGGGGGAGGGGACGCGGTCCTCTGAGGGGTGGCCCGCCTGCACTGCTGCAGCTGCTGCTGCTGCTGCTGCTTCTCCTCTTGCTCTTCCCCTCCCCTTCTGCTTTCTTTGTCCCAACCCTCCTGCGTTGGTTGGGTTCTCGTTTTGAATAGAGCACTGCTCGCGCGAACCTTCCTTCCTTCCTTCCCGTCCCTCTCTTCCCCCCTGCCTTTGACCTCGCTCGTCGCTGCGTGCCAGCTGGGGGGCTGCGATCTGTGAAACTGTCGCCACTTTCGAGGCCTGCTGGGGGGCCCAGCACAGTGTGCACCCGCGGCGGATTCAAATGGGACCTCGCCATCCCTGGGGGGCTGCGATCTGTGAAACTGTCGCCACTTTCGAGGCCTGCTGGGGGGCCCAGCACAGTGTGCACCCGCGGCGGATTCAAATGGGACCTCGCCATCCCTGGGGGGCTGCGATCTGTGAAACTGTCGCCACTTTCGAGGCCTGCTGGGGGGCCCAGCACAGTGGCACCCGCGGCGGATTCAAATGGGACCTCGCCATCCCTGGGGGGCTGCGATCTGTGAAACTGTCGCCACTTTCGAGGCCTGCTGG